TGTGTGAAAATCGCGGTCCATTGGCAGCCGGTGTCCAGTTCATCGGATAAGTCCCCTTTTGGACTGATACAAACGTCAAAAGTGTCCAATACATCTCAATGCCCAATCGAGCCGGTGACCGCTACTACAACCAGGTAGGTGTGCGGTTCGTACGCCTCCTTTTGGTTGGTTTGGAAGCAGGGTTTTTGGCCAACTCCCCTAGGTGAACTACCTGTGGTCCACCAACCCGGTTATAGTCCCTGATGTCGACTTTTCGTCCTCTCGCTTTGGTGGGGAAACACCTCCGCCACGAGAAGGCAGTGAGTAGGGCTTCCTCAGCCGGGGCTTTTCGAGACGCTTGGTCGTATGGGAGCATTTCGCTAGGTGCAAGGGCAGGGCGACCATCCGCAACCCCAGACACCCACCCCCGACGATACTGAGGCATCGGTAAGCTGAACAACAGTATTAAACGAAGTGCAGTGGTGGGATCCATTTTTAAGATTCAGTAAGATATTAACGAATTTCGCAGTATGAAATACACGTACAACTATGGCAGCCTTTCCATTGGCTGCTTACCCGTTCCTAAAAATTGTGTCGTGGTGTGTTCAATAAAAGGAAGTTAAAATGGAAAGAAAGCGGTTAGACCAGTCGAAACTGTCATCCAAGCTAATTAGCATTTGACCACAACAGTTAGTACCAATGTTAGGGTGCCTAATTACATGTTCCCTGTTAATGGGGAACTGAAAGATTGCTTATGTGCAAGAAAAAAATAGAGAAAATAACACAAGGAACTTTGAGGTTATGAATTATTGCTCAAAGGTAGATCGGTTCCCTTCAGTGATTTGGACTGCAGGTGGTTGTTAACTGAAGGCATGGCTCATTACCATCAAGGTTTACAGTCTGTCTATGGCTCACGTACGTAGAACAACCAAACCATTAGATCATAATCTCTGCCAACCTTACTCGTTGTTTATGGACAGTTGTTGTCAGAAGTATTCACGAATCCACTTAACCCTCAAACGGAGTAGTCACATGACAGCAAAAGGAAAGGGAGTTATGGCACCGATTGCTTTGATTAATTGCAAGTTACGTGCTTGTTTTTCCCATGAATGTGTATGATGTGTCACACTTGGTTTCTTGTACGTCAGGTATACGTACATGTTGCGTTTTATGTACCAGAGGTCGCTACTTTTTCACCGTTCACATGCAACAGGTTGAGTACAATTTATTGCCACAATTATCTGAAACTGAAACCTATAAAGGAGATGCGAAGTCATAG